GCGGCGCCCCGGGGGGGCGGCCGGGCCGAAGCCTGAAGATTCGGGCGAAGAGAACTATGCACATGCACCGATCCTGGCAAGGCCCATCCTTGACCCAGGATCGGTGCATATGCCTTCCTGGCCAAGGTAGGAGGGCGTATGCACCGATCCTGGGCTCAGGATCGGCCTTTCCAGAATCGGTGCATGTGCATAGTTCTTTTTCCTCTAAAGATGGGATGCAGGGCAGGGCCAGTTGAGACGTCGACCTGCGTCGACTTGAGACGTCGGCGACGACGACGACGACCACGACGCCGACGACCACGACGACGACGACGGCGACGGCGACGACGACGACGACGACGACGACGACGACGACGACGACGACAACGACAACGGCGACGGCGACGGCGACGGCGACGGCGACGGCGACGGCGACCGCGACGACGACGACGACGACGACGACGACGACGACGACGACGACGACGACCACGTCGAGGACGGCGATAACGACGTCGATGACGACGACGACGGCGGCGACGACGACGACGACCACGTCGAGGACGGCGACGACGACGAGAACTATTCGTCACTTCTTCGCAGCTCCCCTCGATTCCCTGCCTCTCCCTCGCCCTATCCCCTCGGATCGCTCGGGCCCGGGCGGGCCTCCCAGGTTGCCGGTCCCCTTTTCACACTTCGCGGTCGGAGATTTGGACGCCTCTAGCGCACTGGGTCCGCGCGGCCAGAAATCATCCTTCCCCCTCCTCCCAGAGGTCGCCCCTGGAGGTGCGAAACCTGTCGGAGACCTCCGGGAAGCCAAGACGGTCCAAAGACGCAGCGATTCGCAGTACTCCTCCCTTCAGGCTCCCGTGGCTGGCCCGCGGCCGCGCCTCTCTTCGCGCCCTCTTGCCCTGCTGGGATGGGCTCCTGCCGCTCTAGCTTGGAGAAGGATTTCGACAGCTCCGAGATCAGGCCCCATCCCAAGCCAATGTCTCAGCTGTCGGAGGTGGATAGACCTCCTACCCTGACACGTCGATTAATGAATTGGCCGTTTTCGGTTCGCGGGAGGGCGTCGCGGCCGTCATTTTTGCGGGTCCAGGTCCGTCGGTTTCGGCCCCAGGCCGTTTTCAGTAAGGGGAGGTTTACTAAAGGGAGGTTTGTCCACCGCCGAAGCTGGCCCCATCCAGTGCGCTCCACCTCTGAATGATTGCGCCGCCGGCAGGCTGCAATCTGCCTGCGCTGCCGTCGTCCTCGTTTTCTTTCCCCCGCTGACTCGACGAGACACGGCGAATCTCTATGTCTGCTTGTGGCGACTCCGTGGACTTGACCCGATACCCACTCAGAGGGCCTGTGGATCGCTTCGCCCGAGGAAAAATATTCAAGGGCGGGACAACCAACCGGACCGGACAATTGGCTTTTACTAAACGGCCTTGGGCGTTTACTAAAAGCCCTGCCATGTTCGATTCCTCCCCTGTGGGTGCGTTTACCAAACGGCCTCGCTTGTCGGGGTGGTGATTTTGGGGGTGGAACTGGTTGCCTTCTAGAGATGTCTCAGCCGGGGAAAATATCGGGCCGAACGAAAGGGGGGGATTGGGAAAGAGGGGGTTACGACATCTGCTGCATGCAACTGGTTTCGGCCCCGCCGCCGGGCCCATTCCTCGACACACGGGCGCCTCTGGCGCCGGGAGGCGCTGGGAAAATCAGCCATGTGAGCTGATTCTCTACAGTCGGCCAAGATTTGTAGGTCGACCCTGCCAGATCAAGGGTACCCTTGTGTCCTGTGCCTCGCGACACGTGCCTTCTTACACTCCTGTGGCGATGTGGCCCTTGGAAGGGTCTTGTGTCCTCTCGCGTGTCCTGTCCAATCGAGTCCGGCTGTACCCTGTGCTATCCCCCTCTCTCGTCCCCCCCTGAAAGGATGTCTCCGCCGGCCCCCTCCCTCCTGGGGAGGCTCCGGGCTCAAGAGACGGGGGACGGGGGGCAATGCAAACAGGGGTCAGCCAGGGCACTGGATCCTGCTGGATCCTGCGAAGACCTCTCCTGGCTGACCCTTGTTAGCGAGCCGCGAGGCGGCCGCGCCTATTGGCTGACCCGGGCTTGCGAGGACCTGCGTCGCAGTTTTCTTTATTGCCTTGCAGCTTTTGGTTTCCTGCTGACCCGGGTCTGGATTCACCCGGGTCAGGAGATTACCAGCCTGGAACATATCCCTATCCCTATGCTGGGCACCTCCTCATCACGATGCCAATCTTAGGGATTCCCTTATTTTTTGAGGGCGACTCCCTAAGATTGTCATCGCCTTTTGGTGTGTCGATCTTAGGGATAGGGATACGTTCGAGGCTGGTCAGGAGGTCCCCGAGAGGCAGCGCGGGCGGACTCTCCCCCCCGAGGCGCCGGCACGGCCCCCGCCCGCGCCCCCATTTCCCGGAGCCGGGCCGCCGGCCACGGGGTCCTTCGGCCCGCTCCCGCCTGGTTACCAGCCTGGAACATATCCCTATCCCTGTGCTGGGCACCTCCTCATCACGATGCCAATCTTGGGGAATCCCTTTTTTTTTGAGGGCGAATCCCTGAGATTGTCATCGCCTTTTGGCGTGTCAATCTTAGGGATAGGGATACGTTCGAGGCTGGTAACCTGGATCGGGCCGGGCGAAAGTCAGGCAGTGGCGAAGCGTCCCGGCTCGCCTGTAGCCCCACCAAGCAATGTTCCAAGATTTTTTTGTGGTATGCGCGGAATGTTCTTAGAACATTTCTGGTTGAGACTGTCTTACTTTAACACATCGGGTTGATGTTCTAAGAATATGGTCTTTGTTCTTAGAACATTTTGGGGTTGTCAGCACATCCCGTGGTAGGGCTATAGGAATGCTGAGACGGTCGGTCCCTGATCAAGAAAAAGGGGGGGTACGAAATCTGCTGCATGCATCTGGTGTCGGCCCCACCGAGGAGCCCAGTCCTCGATGCATGGCCGTCTGCGGCGCCGGGAGGAGCCGGGAAAATCAGCTACGTGAGCTGAGTCTCAAACCCCCCTTTTGCTATCCCCCCCCTTTCGCCCGGCCCGAGCCAAGGGGCCAGCGGGCTTGAATCGCAGAGCGGATTTCGGTCGAAAAGCAATAGGATGAGCCCATAGTGTCCTGGAGAATTTCGCTTCGGATTTCGCAGTGAACTTCGCGCGGGAGGAATGAAGACTATACAAGCATCCAAGCGAAGTCTTTGTTGCTTTTCACACGCCGTTTCGGGGTTTTGCACTGACAGAAATCCACGCAAAAAAAAATCCGCCGCAGCACGCCTGCAAGGTCGGTGCAGTGACAAGGGGCCAGCGGGCTTCAAGCTGGTCTCCGCAGTGCGTGGCATCTCTTGCCCGACCGGGGCCGCCAGACTAATTCTTCGTAATTCAGGCGGCCTGCGCATCGGCCGCATGCCGCCCCGCCTCCCCTCCCCCCCCCCCTTGGCATCGCTCGGACGTGTGCATTTTTCCTTCGGCGAGGACCATCGAGCTCCTCGATCACTCGGCGAAAAAAACGCTCACGAAACCGAGGAAACACAGGGAATGGACGTCCGAGCGATGGCCAGCCCCCCCCCCCTTCCCTCCTCGACCGCTGCTCTCTGCCGCTGGGCCTCTTCGATGGGAACAAAAACATCAGGAGGGGAAACAACACGCAGACACAATTATCCGTCGATTCCCAGAAAATATTGGAACATATGGGAAGTGGGGGGGAAGCCAGAAACCCAGAAAATAGTCGAAAATATAGGAAATCTGTTTATTTGTGTGTATGTATTTGTGTGTCCCAGGGCCCCTTCAAAAAAGTGGCATCTCTTGCCCGACCTAGCTCGTCAGTGGACTGCAAGTGCCCTGAGCGGCCTGGCGCGGTGGAGTTCCAGGCCAAGCGGGCTTCTCACACCGGGCGGAGTCGAGATACCTGGCTCCCCTGAAGCCACTCTTAGGTCGGGCCTGTCCCCCTACAGGGGGGTTGTCGACGAAAAATACAAGATACCCCCAAAATGTTCAAAACACATTCCAAACATAGTCTGGGGACTATTTTTCTTTTATTTGTTGACCATTCGGGGGCATGTTTGTGTATTTTTTAAATTTTCGTCGAAAATCCCCCTGTAGGGGGACACGCCCGACATAAAGCCACTCGGGGCCACTGCAGCGCAACTGTGAGCTAGGTCAGGCCAGATATCACCCACCTCGTCGCCCACGCAGAGCGTCTTTATCCCCCCAGCAACCCGTGCGGTGATGCAAACATGTTTGTTTGGTCTGCGGGTCGAGAGCGAGCCTCTTTCGCTTAAGAGCTGGGCAGGCCGCGCAAAGCACTAATTGGGGAGACAGGGCGCGGGCGGGCGGGGCCTCAGGCGGCCGGAGGGCGCGGGGTGCAGGCGGTGCTGAAGAGCTTGCACAGGAAAAGGTACGCCTTGGACAGGAGCCGGGGGCGAAGTCCCGGAGGGTGAGCGGTGTGGTGTTGCCGTCGAGCGGTGATGCAAACATGGGTGGGCTTGTTTTCCACCACCACCACCGTAAGTTGGAGGGGGAGGGGGTCCTTTTTGTTTCGCAGTTCGGGCGCAAAGGCGGTTCTCCGCCGCAGCCCGCGCCGCGTCGGCCGCGGCCCGCACGGCGCGACGAACGGCCCTAACTACTTCCTATGGCCTGCGAGGAGCCTCCGAGAAGCTTCAGAGAGCAGAAATCTCGGGCGGCCTCGGAAAAGGAGGGCCAAAAAGGCCACAGGACCCGAGAGACCCCCGCCAGGGAGGAGAGACGGAGGGCAGCCGCGAAGGACCGCTGAGAGAAGGTCCTCCTCCTCCTCCTCCTCCTCCTCCTCTTCGTCCTCCTCCTCCTCCTCCTCCTCTTCGTCCTCCTCCTTGTCCTCCTCCTCCTCCTCCTCCTCCTCCTCTTCGTCCTCCTCCTCCTCCTCCTCCTCCTCCTCCTCTTCGTCCTCCTCCTCGTCCTCCTCCTCGTCCTCCTCCTCCTCCTCCTCCCCACCCTCCAACTTGTGGGGGTGGTGGTGGAAAACAGGCCCATCAAACATGAGGCC